TTTCTAAGCATGATCAACATAACAACATAATTACATCATATCTAGTCTTGCCTAATAAAAATAATAAAATTGTAAAATTAACAATAATCCAAAGAAATGTAAAAKTTAAAAYAARTGTTAATATAATTACATCATATCTAGTCAAGAAGAGTAGAAGAGGATTGAAATTTGGACATATCAATTATAAGCCCAAATAATCAAAATGTTAATATTTATATATATACCGGGTGCGGGGCGGGTCGGGGGATACAATACCCGGCCCCGGGCCCGGCCCCAGTTTGCCTCTACCGGGGATCCCCGGCCCCGGCCCCGGTACCCGTTTTAGCGGGGAATCCCCGTCCCCGTCCGGGTCGGGTGAACCGGGTTCCCCACCGGGTCGGGCCAAATCACCATCCCTACTCGTGTTCATCTCGCTTGAAGAAGCATACAATGGTTCTTCGATTCTTTTTTTGCATACAACAATCCTTTTTTTATTTATAAATTGCTTTTAAGTTGTGTTCTTGAATTTGGGCAAAAACGAAATGGATGGAAAAGAAGGAAAGTAAACGAAAGAAAATATTCATGTTTTTGACAGGAGATAATTGAAATAAAAAGTGTCTTTTTACAAATATACCCTTTAAAAATATGTTCTTTATTGTAAAAAGTTGGATGATTTTGTAATTTTAATAATCTTTTTAAAAAGTTTTAATTTATTTTATTTAATTCCATTTCCTCCACCATCTGTAAGGAAAGTTTTGGAAGGAAACTTATAATCTTTTTCCTTTCATTTATCTTTTAAAAAAATTTCAAGAACACGAGTTTCTTTTACTTTTTTCCTATTTTTCTCTTTTTCCTTTCACTTCCTTCATAAAAATGTTTCGAGAACACAAGTTAGGGGCCGTTTACCAAATGCTTAGTCGGGTAAGCGCTTATCAAGTCACATTACCTCACCAGATGAATATGGCAAAGACCAATAATTTTACCCGGTAAGTGGTGGCGACAATTTTTACCACGATTAGCGCTTATTGGGTAAATTGTTATATATGATGTCGTTTTGGTAGACTAAAATCTTACCAGGTAAGTAAGCGATAACATTGAATTTTACCGTTAAGCGCTTACCGGGTAAATGTTTAAGTAAACGGCCCCTTAATGTTTCGTTTTTGCTTGATTAAGTTCTACCATGCTAAATAACCAGGGTCGTTCCTTAGCATGTTAAATGTGAGGTTTTGAATAGGGCCCCCGAAATTTTAGGGCCTAAATTTACATGTGTTTAGGGTCTTTTATCGACCTGTGTAAAACTATAGCCGAAATTATTTATGTTCAAATCATTAATGGTTTAGGTTTAGTTTCAGATTGTTAATTGTTTTAGGTTTAGCCATTTTTGTTCTTAACATATATTCTCTGTTATCTCTTTTATGCAATGTAATCAAATTTTTTGGATGTAGCAGGACCTCCAAAATGATTGGAACGTCCCTGTAAATAACATTATGGCACGAAATTAATTTTGCTTTTAACTTAAATTTTAATATTTTCCTTTCGTTTTAATCAATCTTTTTTTTTATGTTACATACATGTTTATGATCTGATAAGTGCTTTTTTGTTTATGTATTTTTTTAATATCGAAAACTCTTATAAAAATAAAATTGTGTTCACATTATGTGTGCAATTGTTTATCTTTTCTGTTTTGCTTTTGCTATTGGGTCTTATCTTTAAACTAAAAGAAACTTCAAAAGTTAGTGTATAAAAAAAATAATCGTTTTGATTAGGGGTGTAAATGATGTGAGTAGAGCTCGAGTATCACTATACTTGATTCGAACTCAAAATCTCATTTTCAAGCTCGAACTCAACTTGAAAACTTACGAGTGATAAAAATCAAAGCTCGACTCGAACTCGATAACTATTTTTCAAGCTCGATTCGAACTCGATAACTATTTCTCAAGTTCGACTCGAACTCGATAACTATTTCTCAAGCTCGACTCGAACTCGAATTAGGCTCGAACTAAGCTCGAATCAAACTCGAACTGCAACTCAAATTAAGCTTGAACTCAAACTCAAATCAAGTTCGATCCATGCTCACTTATGGAAATTTATGAAATTTTAGAGTATTTCTCTTATAAAATTTTAAACTTAAAGATGTTCTCTTAGTTTTTATAAAACTAAAGAAATCAACTTCAAACTTCATCTTCCAAAAGATAAAGTTAGAAACTTTATTCACCTCCCTCTCTTTTTATAACTTTTTTCTTCTTTCCTTTACCATCTCTCTTCCAATGTGAGACAATTCCACTAACCATTTTTATAGTTTTTTTTTGTCTTTTTTTTAATTGTGATTTTAATAAAAAAAATATTGATTAATTTTTATAATTAAAAGTGCATAATTTTGTATAAATATCAAAAAATACAAGACATTTTTATTATTTATATTTTACAATTTTTATCATAAGAACTTATTATATTTTAAAACTAATTATATATAAAATAATTGAGTATCTCACGATTTTTTCGAGTCAAGTATTGGGTAGCTTAACTCGACTCGTTAATATGTCGAGTTCGAGCCAAGCCTATTCAAGTCGAGTGTTGACCGAGCTTTAACCGAGTCGATCTCGAGTAGTTCGCGAGTTGTCTCATATCATTTACGTCCCTAAATTTTGATCATACATCTTCAGCTTTATGAGCATCTTGACGCCAAATCAAACCCACCCGTCACACTTTTTCAACAAAAGTTAGGAGATCAAGTAATTAATGATGCACAACTAGGATGCTTTGTTCATGGGTTCGACATTATATACTTTTCTACTGCTAAAGCTCATGCTGCAGATGTTACAGAAAAAAACAACCGTTGGCTTAACTATTAAGTATGGATTATTATGTTGACCATAAAATAATTTCAAATTTTAGGTTATTTAGTCGTTTTATAAGTTTTGGTTGGATTTAAATTAAATGTCGTTGGTTTCACACCTTAGTGGACTTATTTTGACGTTTGGTGACTTTTTATACAATGTCATTTTAAAATCTAATACTTTCCTTCTATCAATTGTATTAATTATATCTGACTTTAGTTTATTTGAACAAAAAGTTGATTACTAGTAATTAAAATCAGTTACATATAAGGCCCGTTTTTTAAAATACCAATATAAGAGGACATTTTTTAACTGACTCAAATATTGAGATTGAATAAGACATGTCTTATATTTGGACAAATTTACCCAACCTCTACCCCTTTGTCAGCTGAACTACAGCCACAACGCACAATCGCAACCGTTGATGCGCAGGTCCTTTGCATTTCTCAAATCCAAAACCAGAAAGAAGAAATCAGATGGAAAACGATATCAACATCCAAATTTCACGGTAACTGATCGCCAATTACAGATTCAAACCAAATCGTATGATTCGATCACTAATATTCACCGAGACATGTAATTGAATCAAAATATTATCCGATCCAATCCAATCCAATTCAAATAAATCCAGAATATGTAATCAACTAACCAGTAATGGAAGTCGGAAGAAAAGAGTATGACATGAAAATTTGGGAAATTATATGTCAACCTAAGTACATATGGATCCCGATAGCTAACAAGAAGATGCAGATGAGAGCAAAATAGATGACGGAATGAACCAGAATAGAAACGCCACTCGTCTGGAAGTTGCCGAATTCCACCATCTTACTGCGACCGGGAATCTGAATCAACAGTCCTGGCGTTAGCAGTATGAACAGCACCACCGCCACGAACACCGGTCCCCAATCCGACATTTTTTCTAATTCTCAGCTTCTGATCGATCTGTTTCCTTCTTCTCTCTACTTCTATCTGATATCTGAGAAGTGTATATACAGTTGGATTTTAAGGATCAATGGTGGAGGAAGAGACAAGATAGGTATGACTATGAAAGAGGAAAAGCGTCCCGTGATTGCTTACTCAAGTTATCCTGATTCAAAACTGAATCCCACTTCCTAATGGTTTTTTAGAAGTAATTGCATTTTGGTCCCTCAACTTTATAGGTTTGGGTTAATTAGTCACGTTTGTAAAAAACAATTACCATAAAGCTCCAAGAATTTTTAGAAGTTTTTTTTTTTTGAAGTATATAATATTTATATACGATAAATACAACAAATAAACTCACACACTTTTCTCGCTTATGGTGAGATTTGAACCTCTGACCTCCTAGAAGGCCAAAGTAAATTTTAATGGTTTTCATGGTGGCTCTAACATACTTTGCATAACGGTGGGTAGTTGAATGATGAAGAAAATGTCATTTAACTTGCCACTAGAAATTTTTGTTTTTTTCTAGGGTTGCAGGTTTGTCTTTTTTTTTTAACAATTTTTTGTTTAACAGTTAAACAATGCTTACTTTTACTTGAGCATTAAATAATAACAGAATTAAATAAACAGTCATGTACACGTTGTTAGAGTCGATGCAAAAAATTTGCCGGTCCTTTTACGACCAGTTCAGTCATAACCGGGTCCCTCTAAAAAATTGTAATTGGTTTATCAGCTTCCTGAGACTCGAGCTTTTTAACCAGATTTTTTTGTTTTTTAAGTATATGAAATAAAGTTATATAAAAAAATGTATAAAATTATTTTGAAAATACTCTATTTACTTCAATATTGTATTTGTCAATCACTAAAACACAGAATAGGGATTCAAAAACACAAACAATTGTTTGATTTCAAGTCTTGAACTTTTGATTTGTGAAAAACAGACATCAACTCAGACACTTGTAAAATAATAACTAAAAAGTCATATGTAACCGAACGTTGCGTCCCAAACTAAGACATGTTATTCCACGTTGATATAAAAGAAAACGACAGCTCTTTTACTCATTTGTTGGTTAACGGGTTGGTTATAAGTTGTGGATCAAGTCAAATGACATAAAACTTCAATCAATAGGATCATACCATCTTTTTTGTTTACATTTTTGTTGGATAGTTTATACAAATTGCCAAATATTACAATTCAGCATCAAGCTTCATATTTTGGCAGTAGCAGATGACAACCCCCACTAAAACATGTCAAAAGTGATTAGCGGTAAGAGTCATGGCTCTCACTAAGGTGCCGTTTACTAAACGCTTACCAAGCAAGTCACTTTACTTTACCCGATGAATATGACAAGGACTAAAAATCTTAACCCGGTAAGAGCGAAGACAAGAATCGAGGGTCTTACCCAGTGAGTGAGGACGAGAACTATTATCATGGTTAGCGCTTACCGGGATAAATTGTTGCATACGATGTGTTTTAGTGAATAAAATCTTATCCGGTAAGTAAACGATAGTGTTGAATTTTAACGGTAAATGCTTACCAGGTAAGTGTTTAGGTAAGCGGCCCCTAACCTTACCAAGATTCTTGGCCATCAAGATGGGATGCAATAACCTTATCTGGAACTAAGCACTTACAATAAGAGTCATCACACTCACTTACCGGGTAAGAGGTCATTTACCAAATGCTTATCGCGTAAGTGTTCACCGGCAAAGTCGTCATCCTCACTTACCTTGTTGGGTAACATTCTAGGCCATCAAAATGGATTATATGGTAAGCATTTTTACACAGTAAGTGCTTACTGGGTAAGAATCTTCTCCCTTACTTACCAGGTAAGATTTTTGGTCCTTACTATGCCTAATACCGGGTAAGATTTTGTGTCCTTACTATGCCAGTTACCGGGTAAGATTCTTGGTCCTTACCATGCCTATTACCGAGTAAGATTCTTGGTCCTTGCTATGCCTATTACGCATGAGATTCTTGGTCCTTGCTATGCCTATTACCGGGTAAGATTCTTGGTCCTTGTTATGCCTATTACCGGGTAAGATTCTTGGTCCTTGCTATGTCTATTACAGGGTAAGATTCTTGGTCCTTGCTATGTCTATTACCGGATAAGATTCTTGGTCCTTCCTATGCCTACTACCAGGTAGGATTCTTGGTCCTTGCCATGATTATCTGTAAGTCTGGTGACACCCTATTAGCGCTTACCTAGTAAGAGTTTGGCAAACGGCCACTAAAACCCTCGATTTCATCAACTGATAATATAATTTCTGCGATATAGGGCCCCATTACACCTATAACCAACTCCAGTTTAAACCATCAAATAGTGGCCTATGCCATTATTAGCACATAAAACAGATAATAATCTTTTAACAGAATACCAGAAGATGTTCCACACAGATAAAATACTAAAATAGAAGACACCAGTTGAACAGCAATTCTATCTCTCAAAGAGAAGAGGGGGAGGGGGAGCCAATAAATGTAAATAACTGAACAGTAAAAAAACACAGAATTGACAGGCAAACTATTCAGATGTGAATGTTAGTCTACCAGCGCAACTCACATGAGTTCTGGAATCAAGCATAATTCAAGCGGAATATGTCGTTGTACACGTAAAAGCTTCCTTGTGGTGTTGGCATCAGATGGAACATCTGTACATGGTGACAGTTGATAACATTAAGATGAAGAATTTTCATGGAAAACAGAACATTCACGGAACAACATTATTGGTCACTGTGTTTTCATGCACAGCAAAGACGGACCTAGAAATTTCTTCAAGTGGTGGCACCATTTGACTCTAAGAAACAAATATAACATATATTTCACAAAATCATCATTGATCTGTTGGTTAGTTCATTGTTTTTCATATGTGAGGTCCTGTTTTCAAGTCTTTTATTGCAATTCTTTTTCAGAAACATAATAAATCTAAGAATAAAAGCTAAAAACTAAGAAAATGACAACTAACGTGGATTCAAACTCGGGTCTGGGGTGGAAGAAAAGCCTTGTAAACCAACTCTACCAAGGGAAACTTGTGTCCTTCTTGTAGTTTCAAAAATATACGATAGCACACAACAAACTGATATGGTGTACAACAAAAAAAGCAGTACTAAATTTTGAAAAACGAGTTAAAAGTAAGCAATAAAATTCAAACATACAGATGGAATAAGGTACAAGTGCAACAAAACATACAAACCAAAACTATCATAATGTCTGAATAATTACACTTCCCTGTTTCCTGAATAACATATATAGATAAGGACTAAAGAGAGACAACAAACAAGTACCAATTCCGGCTCTCAGATTTTATCCTATCTGGAAAACATGGTAATCTGGATGACAATTTGAATCAACTAGCATTCATTGAATCATTAATCATGTAATACCAAGAAGGCAACAATATCAGCTAATTATACTCAGTCAGATGCCCATAAAAATATTAATGTAATATCATTATAATCCGCTCTTTTTCTTCTGCTCCCTCCTCAATTTACAAATGCTCATCATCTCCATAATCTACTCCATTATTTCTCAATTGAGAAGCAACAACACACTTGCCATTATGCAAATCAAAGAATAGAAATATCCCAATTTTTTGAATTTCAAAGCCTGAACAGACCTAAAATAACAGGAGGCGATGTGTTGGGTAATATGCATGGTCTTCCATTGGAACTGCTAGTATCCTTCCACAAATTTTTAATCTAATGCAAAACTTCTGTGGCGTTCTAAGTGCCAGAGATATAGAACAACATTGTCTGTAGGTATTCATAAACAAGTCCATGCATATACATTTCAAATGTGTAAAGATAAAGATACTTGGAAAAATGGAGGGTTGATTGGCACTATGACCCAATGAAGAAAATATTGCATAGAAACATATAATTTGAGGGAAAAAAGTGGTTACGTAGCATATTACCTGTGCATTGACACTAATGCCACTTAATAAATCAAAATCAATGCATTAGTTACCTAATACCATAAAGAACTTCTAAAGTAGACCAGAGAAATGCAAATAGTGGTGAATGAAGCATTCTAGAAACAAGTTTTCAGGTCTGAACACATTTTCAGAACTTTTTTATGAGAAACGTCACTTCATTATAGATCATTGTCTAAATACAACTAAAAATAACAAGTGTTTCAGCCTTTCAAGTACTTGAAAAGTGTGTTTCCCTTTATTTTCTCTCTCAACAAGTGTTTCAGGTACTCAATCCGTCAAATGGTGTGGTTCCCTTTAATTTCTATCTCATGCCTGTCCTACCATTGAATCCATCACACACCTCTAATCTCTCCTTCCCTCTGGTTCTCTCAATTGGAGGTTCCTGTTATCTCTATATAACCTAACAGTCTCCAACTCCCATATACCATCATCAGCTATGAGCTCCCTACCCAAAATTATGCCCATGTGCCCATTCGTGAATGTGAAAATTAGGAAGAAAGAAAATGAAGAATACATGCTAAAAGATCATCATTCCCTCTAACCACAGTCACATTTGGAAAATGAAACTAGTAGCTGTATTCTAGAAATTATAAATCATATAACTTTTAGGATAAGGAAGGACATCATGAGGTTTTATAGCTGACTCTAGCATATAATACAATGTAACTTTATGGGCTCGTCCATGTAAGCCAGCGATTTAAGGACAAGAAAAATCAAGCAATTATGTGTAGGATAAGTAAGAAAAACTCATTCGTAATGAGTGTCAACAATTATATTTGACCTTAGCTTTCAAGAAAACCATTAGAGTTACCAAAGATAAAAAGAATGCTTGAAAATTTTAAACAGTGTTAACAATTGTACTTGGCTTTAAATTCAAAAGAATACCATTGTTGTTGCGAGAAATGGACAAAAGTGTCCAAGTTTCAAGGTGAAGAGTTTTATTTTGGAATTTCTGCAACTACAATGGTTTTCCTCGAAACCTAAAGCCAACTACAACAGTTAAAACTTCGAAACATAAATCACTCCATCCACAACACGCGAGTAAGCACTTCAACACAAAATGATGGTCTCCAAAAAGGCAAAGACTGTCAGATCAGAAACAACCTATTAAGTGTAAATATGAGTCCATAATGTAAAATATGGTACTAAATTTCAATTTCATGATGGTTACACTAACTAGAAATATGAAATATATTCCAACACAAAAGTGTTCCCCTTTATGTACAAGTTGGTACCAATAGCCAAGCATTTGCGTCAAAACTGATACAGGTTAGCTCAACTAGCAATAAGATCCTCCTTTGAGGTCACGCCAATAAAGAATTTTCTGGCTGTTCTCCAGCCCCTGGGATTAGTTGAGATACGCCCAAACTGGCCTAGACACCCATGGTTAACAAAAAAACACCTTAAACGGGTTTCATTTGGGTACAAACAATAACATATACCACCTTGTACCTTCTGGAGTTAAGAAAAGACTCAAATGAGATAAGTAAAAACTGAAATGTTACCTTCAAGGTGGCAACGCAAATCTTATCTCAAGATGCTCGTTAGAATACAGATCCAAACATAATGCACACCAGTTCTATCCCATTTATACTAGTGCATAAGAGATCCATACTTGCTATTTCCTAACAATAATTCTATTTCACAACATTAACTAAACAGCACACAGATCGGTACAAACACTACACAAAAGCAACTAAATATCCCTCATTATGCCATAAATCCTGACCAATTATTGACTCATAGAAAAGCATTTCTTGTAAGATTTAAATGAAAAAGGAGCATTCCTCTAATACTCTGCCAAATCAACACCCAACAGACAAACGCGTTTGACAACAAAACTAAAGCTGCAGTAACCGGATTCTCTCATCCGCAACACAAAACCTAGGTTTCCTGATTGCTTAATTAAGGTTTAAAACTCAAATCTCATATAAATACCCGAATTAACCTAATCAAAAGAATCAAATAAGATCCAAATAAATATAGACAGCAATAAGGTAATAAAAAATAGAGGTGTCTCAAGAAATACCTGACTGAACTTAAGAGCGTGTTGTTCTCCGGCAAGTTGAAGGTTGCCGCTGACAAAAACGAGCATACCACCGGCAGGACCGGAGGGCTGGCAATCGACGGTGGTGATGCTATGTTTGCACTGCTGGAAAGGGAGAGATGTGAGCTTGTTGACGATATTCTGAGATCCTTGAATCTTCTGGCCTTCGAAAGTCAACATGGAAGACTCTTGGTACAAGTTAGCTAAGCCAGTGCGATTGGTGTCGAAGGTGGTGTAGTAGTGCTCAACGAATGCTTTCGACAAAGCGTCTGGATCCATCTTCGCCTCCGATCGTCTCTCAGCCTTCTTCTGCCTCTCTCTATTCCTAGCTGATTCAAAACGCTACAGGGATTGGGTATATGAGAAGGGTTATTTGGAATATAGGGTTTTAAAGCTGGCTAGCGGTTTTTTAAGAATCATAATTAGAAGAGTAAATTACAAATTTAGTCCCCATGGTTATATTTTTTTAATGATATTTGTCTTTTTTCTAAAAACATTAACCAATTGTGTCCTAGCGGATGCTTTTTTCCGACTAGATACTTAATTTATATCTATACTATCTATACTATATTATAAAGCATTTGATTAAAACTCTTAAAACTCTTAAACTCTTAAAACTTTTAAACTCGTTCATCCCTAAACAATTTCATCCCTATCCGATTTCATCCCATAACTGAATACGTGTAACTAACTGCAGATAAACATAATCAAATACAGGATAACCATCTCATTTTAAATATAAAAAATCTAAAATATAATTAGAATAATCATTGA